GTCAATTTAGGAGACGTCATTTTCACAGTCGTTTTCACGGGAATCGCATCAGAGAAAAATAACTATATTTCTGTTAGTACTTCAAATATTACGTCCTAAATCTAAATACATAATAATAGAACAATTTAAAGGTACATTTGAGAAAATTGTTGAAAAATATCGCGAATTTTAGAAAATCAATGAGTTAAATTTTTGAATCCGCATGCTTTTGCTTCAATTTTTTTGTTGTGCGCCGTACCTCTCCATCAACGATATCAACATACCGATAATTTTAGTAGAATTTTTTTAAAATACAGAAATTTTGCCCAAAATTTATTGGAATCTTTAAGATACATATTTCTGTGAAATTTTATAACTATATGACATCTGTAATAGTAAATAATAGCACAGTCCGCGTAATTTTTGAACGGCCCTCGTAGTATTAGTCACATTATCCAGCGATGGCGTATACGATGGGCAACCAATGCGTTTTTTGATATAAATGGTGTGGTTGCCGGCCGGACTTACAAAGGCCAAGCGATGCATTCCTTATCATAAAACGATGTTAATGCCTAGGTCACATTTCCCGGCCGGTAGCCGTAGACCGGTGGTAATCGTTGGTAATCCGTGGTGTTAGCGATGCCCCAATGTCAAATAATGACCTTGCGTAGAGAATAGTGAATTAAACTCCTCTTTGATAAATAACAGAAAATCTTTTCTACATTTAAACTTTACATTTTAATTAACAAAATATTATACAACAAAATAAACTGCTTTGGTGTGTGGTCGTCCGTGTCCCCCGAATGCCGGTAGTCTATGGTTCCAAACGGTGTTTGGGATACACTACTGTCTCTTGCCGCTAAGGAGGCTCAGACACCCCTCTCCAGTGCGAAGAGATTACACTCCCCCTCTCCAGTGCCGAGGAGGTTATACGTCCGTCTTGCGTTCAAGACTATGAGATGTGACTGGTACGGGCCGCCATCTCTACACAACTTTACAGGAATGATCTATGAGACCTATTAAATATCATACACAGAATAATATAGACATATAATTTACGCTGTGAAACGTTACAGTGCAATATGCACAATGCAATAATTGCTATACTTCACAACAGTTATTATAGAACATCGAACCGACAAATAAAGACACAAACAATCCACCGTACAATTAAGACTCAAACAGTTTTCGAATACAATGTAACTATAAATAACAGAACTTAAAAATATGAAATAGAATAGCTTAAAGTTGCATATTTTAGAAATTCCGTATCTGGGTGTTTTAAGATATTTACAACTTATAAAATAATAAAAACAAACGCAAATAAGGCTTACCTCAGAGAAGCAGGACCATAGCATAAATTCTAATAAGGGTTGGGTTGAAATACCCTCAGTGGTTTGCCATGTGTATAATACAAATCAAATATATAAATCTTGAGAAGTTTTGAAAACGTCCTTCTACCTGGACTGCCGTGTTCAAACTCAAGCACGGGCTCACCAATATTTTAAAGGTCCAGTGATTTGAGGTATAAAACGGGGTTAAATGAACCCAGTGAAAAATGGAGGCTCCCCACAGGTGAATACAAATTACTTGCGTGTTCGATTAGGAGATTTTAATGTGACACCCAACATCGGTCCACATCGGCCTAGTAATCCTTAAAGTATCAGTCACATTATCCAGCGATGGGTATACGATGGGCAACCAATGCGTTTTATGAGAAAAATTACGTGGTTGCCGGCCGGACTTACAAAGGCCCAGCGATGCATTGCTAATCAAAAAACGATGTTCCAGGATAATCGGCCAATGTATATTACATCGCTCATACATTGGTGAACATCGTTCGTACATCGGTCAACTACGGGCCAATGATTGGTCGAAAATCGACCGGTGATCGGCAGTTATCTGTTGAACACCACACAACCTCCCAATGACCTCTGATTCAACGGATATTGGACGATGCTCGGCCATACATCGGCCGATCCGTGAAAGATGTGTTAATGATGGGTTACCGATGAGGAGCGATGTGAGGCATCGTTGGAGACATCGTTGAATTTTAACTACGAATTATTTCCTACCGATGATCCCACCGATTCGCAAAATGGCCTCAGTCACCGTCCGATCACTAGTAATGCCCGGCCGGCAATCATGCCATTTTCATCAAAAAACGCATCGGTTTCTCATCGTATACCCCATCGCTGGATAATGTGACTGATACTTAAAGGGTATAATCGGCCGATGTATATTACATCGCTAATACATTGGTGAACATCGTTCGTACGTTGATCGACATCGACTATTGACCATTGTTTGATCGAACATTGACCAATGATCGGCCGATGTCTGTTGCCCACCACTCAACCCTCCGGTGATCTTAGATTAAAGGACACTTAACAGATCTCTGCCATACATCGGCCAATCCATGAAAGATTTGTTGATGATGGGTTGCCGATGATGAGCGATGTGGGGCATCGATGGAGACATCGCTGATTTTTAACTACGAATAATTTTCTACCAATGACTCCACCGATTCGCAAAATGGCCTCAGTGACCGTCCGATTACATGTACTAGTAGTGTCCGGCCGGCAACCACGTCATTTTCATCAAAAAACGCATCGGTTTCTCATCGTATACTCCATCGCTGGATAATGTGACTGATACTTTACCTGGATTGGAACTATATAAGATTTTAATATTTTTTTTCTTAAGACGTCGGAGACAAACATTGAATGCATTATCTAAAAATCTAAAGAGCCCTCGTTCATAATCACACTAGACAAAAATAACTCACCAAATTCTTTTTCAGGTATTTGTTTGAAAACAAGCTAAGCAGTGTGGAGAACAATACATTTTATGGTTTGTCAAGTCTAAACGAATTGTAAGTATTTAACATTGGATATCTATTTTCTTACGTACATGTATCTTTTTAAAAAAATCATTCTACATTTTTATGCGCCCGGATCGAAAAAGTGGAGGCGCATATTTTTGTTGTGTTGTCTGTCTCTCTGTCTGTTTGTCTGCAAAGTTTAACCTTCGCCATAACTTTTGAACCATGAAAGATAGAGAATTCATATATATTTGGTATGTGTACTCCACTGATTAAGCTCTTTCAAATGACACCAAGGTCAATGATCTGGTGACCACCTTGACTCTAATTTATATGCTAAAAGTAGCTTTTCGTCAGCAAACTTTAACCTTCGTCATACATGTAACTTTTGAACCATGATAGATAGAGACTCCGTATTTGATATGAAAACTCCACTGAAATTAAGCTCTTTCAAATGACACTACGGTCAATGACTTTGAGGCCTTGATCGTGGCCTATATGCTAAAATTAACTTTTTAAAATCTTCTCCATAACATTTAAACCGTGGGGGATAGACCTTTCAGCATTGGTATGCAAGCTACACTTATTATGTTCTTTTACATGTAAGTGACGCCAAAGTAAGTGACCTTGTGGCCTTGACTGCGACCTATATGCTAAAAATAGCTTTTTCGTACCTTGTCATAAGCTTTTAACCATACGAGATATAGACTTCATATCTAGTGTGCATAGTCCATTAAGTATTTTAAATGACAAGAAGGTCAATGACCTCGTTACCTCAATTGTGTCCTACATGCCAAAATATAGCTTTTTTCGAACTTTCTTTCCACCGGGCGCATAGTGTTTCACAAATACATTTTCTTTCAGATATTTATACAGCAACGAAATATCCACAATCGAGAGCAATGCATTTAATGGTTTGCCAAAAGTAGAAGAGATGTAAGTTTCTTTTCTTTTTTGTACTTTCCATAAAATATACAATCGAATGATATAGTTGAATCCATACTTTTCAAAAGTTATGTCCTTTGGATGCCAATTTTTTGGGAAAACCCATAAAATCCTCAGAATAGCCTTCATAGTTTACTTTAGGAATGACTGTCTTATTTTTCGATTTCATGAAGTGATCAATCGATTGGCTTGCGTGATAATTGCGTTTAAGCATAAAATTATCACGCAAGCCAATCGATTGATCATCCTCATGAAATTGAAAAATAAGACAGTTATTCCATATATTTACATGCTTTGATTCCGCCAATCCACGTGCTCCAAGCCCTGCTTCTGTCTAGCTGTTTATTCCGCCCTGCAGGTGGTTTTTTTTTAAACCGCGCCAATACATTGATGGGGAAATAAAGGACATTTACAATTGGTAATTTTATCTCGGACAAAGACATTGGAAATGTAAATATTAGTTTATAACTTTGTCATCTGCCTGGAAAAAAATTTGTGCTTCTTGAATAAAGATTTCCCCAAGATTGGGTCACCCATATATCAAAAAAAAATTAAACACAGTGGATTTATCGGAGCACGCCGGAATGTTTAGTAGCATAAAGAGGAGAAATGTCCTTTTTCCCTTTTGGCCTTTTGGATGACCCTGGAAAAGGACATAACTATTGCAAAGTGTGTATTAGACTTTACAGTCAAATATCGTTATTTCGAAATCGATGGGACCGAGAGAATACTTATATGACTATTCGAGACATTTAGCTAAAATGGTTAAGGAATAAAATATGTTGACTTCCAAATAACATCAACATATCCATTGTGTTCAAAATACTTAAGTTTCACTGTATTGTGGAATTGATTTATTCAATCAATGATATATTTTATCGTCCATTTGTATAATTGGTTAGATAGAATTGGAATCCACTTGACGAGCAATATAATAATCTCCTCCCAAATTCATTTAAGAGTACATATTTCAAAATTCAAAGTGCAAAGATGAGACCAGCTCTGGGACCTAACCTAATTTAACTTAACGTATAAAATTTCTTGAATTCTGGATATTGAAAAAAAATAATCACAAAAACACATTTTAAAAATTGACTTGTGTTTGGAGATAAAATAATAAAAAAAATTTCATTTTTTATTTCTTGTTCCATAGACAGAAATATATATGATTCAGTTACTATTTCATATTTTCGCTGTGTATATTCTATTGAATATTTATCAAGTTGAATATACATGTATATCATTTTATGACATGTATTTTCAAAATGTTGTTTCTTTAAGATTAATATCCGACAACAAGTTAACAACAATAGAGAACAACACTTTTGATAATGTGGCAAGTTTAAGAGAACTGTAAGTATCTTCGAATAGATCAACTTCTGAACTTTTCAATTATAAATGCTACTTAAACTATCTTAAAATGCGTTATTATTGCAAATGTATATACACTGTATATTAAAGATTATTATGTCACTTAAAGAAAATCAGTATTACGATTATTATATGTATTACTAAATGTAGATATTGGATACACATGTAAGTGTAAGCTAAAGGTATGAAATACATATATTCAAACCACATGTTCATAACACTGTATTGGCTTGCATGCTCTACTTTGATTTGTCATTCCACAAAAAGCGCGTTGAAATATGAGTTTGATAAATTAATTCCTGTATGAATAAAAATATAGTACATGTTTTGTTTGACGTGCCCATAAATGATTTCTTTTATTTTTTTTCTTTAAGTTAAGTTTAAAATGCTTCAATCAATTTCGTGGACAATATTGTGAAACTATTTACATGTTGCAACCCCCATCCCCTTCCTCACGGAATGATCAAGTTTTAACAGAAATTAAAATTTTCTCTGTGCTTGTGTTTATGAATATACATTTGCACTGTATGTGATCATTCATCAAATAATTTTATGAGATTTTTGTTTGAGACTAGCAAACATCAATCTCAGGATGTTCTCAGAAATCTTAATTTTTTTTCTCATCTGAGTCGTCGGATAAACGTTGCTGGCACCTATGTTTGAGAAATAACTCCGACTTGAGAACAAATATCAGGCTTCGGGGCCACGAACAAATTAAAACCTCAGCTGAAATCTTAGAGTATGAAAATCTTCGATTTCTGCCTCAGCTGATACGAGGGGCGTTCAATAAATAATGTCATAAGCTCTATGGCATACAACATAGAATTCATATGATATTATGCTTGACTTTCTCTCAAGATTTAATCTTTGATAAATGGATTACAGTTTATATGACCACTTTTCTTCACATAGTTTCATTGTGAGAAGCTGGAGAACAGCGGCTATTTGAGACACTTTATGATAAATGTATGGTAAAGAATCAGTATACTAGAGTAAAATTAAACGCTACATGAAAGCTGCTGAAAAACTCGATAAGAATCCCAAAGAAATAGTCACTGAAATATGTGAAATTTACAGCAATCAATGTATGTTTTGTAGACACATGAGCATGAGGATTTCAATGAACAAAAATAATATAATGCGCATCAAAAATAGGCACCGTCCTTGGGGGCAAAGATTGATAACAACTTATTTACTGTTTGCCAAAATTCAGTAAATTATCACTTGTCATGTTTGTTTGACTGCAAGATACCTAGCAAAATTAATAGGCATTATTTTGGGGTAGTTTACACTGTTTTACGGAAACATTTGACAGAAAAAAAGCTTAGTACTCAATGGTCACCCTATGTTTTGAAAAATGAATGAAAAAGACAGCGTGTAAGAATATGTAAACAACTATTTTTAGAAAAAAAATTGTAGTTATCAACGTTTGTCTGAAATTCAGATAGATTGTGAAACTTGAATCCATTGCTCTAAACACTCTAAACAAATTTACAGTAAGATGCACTTGACAAAAACAGTCAAGGTTTGAGAAAAATTATGAATTGCAAAAGTACAAAAACAGTTTCATATGCCATTTTCTTAAATATTAGTGATATTATTGTTCAAATTTTTATGTGGGGAGAAATTTCAATTTCTGGAGAAGTCTAAACAGCAATTTTTTGCGAAAAAATAGAAAGATTTACGAGAGGAAGGAACCAAATCCGGAATCCACTACATTAAATTTCTTCATGACAGCGTCCAAACCAACACGCCTTGAAAAGTTAAGGAGTTTTGAGGATAAACGGAAAGTTAATGTTTTGTTACACCAACAATACTTGCCAGATCTTTCATCCTTTGACTTGTTTCATTTTACAAACTTGAAAAAACACCTTTTAGAAAGAATACACAAGTCCAGGAAATCAAAGAATCTTCCGTAATCCAGTATACAAACGGTCATACCCAAAAATGTGTTCTAAAAATAATAAGAAAATAGAGAAAAATATCATGGACATGTGATTTAATTAAAAGAGAATATCTAAATGAAATCATTAAGACTAAATCATTATAAAGCGTTTTTTTTTTTTTGCTTCTTTCCAAGCAACGATGACATTATTTATTGAACGCCCCTCGTATTTTCCTAAAAGGTCATGTCACCAACATTTCGGAGATTCGTCTCATGTAGGTTGAGATTTGAGAAAAATCTTAGATTATGAATAATGATATGGGATTCCAGTTTATATATTATGCACGATGCATCAATGATTTAATTTACCCTACACAATATTTAAGTTTAGATCGCGAAAAAACATATCCCCACTTCCATCTTTTTTTTTTGCTGTTTGAGTCATTCCACAGAAAGGATTCCTTTACGACATTAAGGTTTAAGATTTAAAGCTCCACAAAAGAATACCTGCTACATCAAACATATTTTGGCTATATAAGGAGTCACTTCCGCTATTGTGACGTTACGTGTATTTGGTAGAAGGATTGATGAAGACTTTATATTTTCACTACCTATCTAACAAACAAACATTTTTTTTTCTTTCTTCTATAATATACATGTATGTAATTGGGTATACGTATCTATATTATTTCTAATTGTTTATAGCAAGAAATATACAGTCATATGTTTGGATTATAGGGTCTATTTTGATTTAAGAAATAACTTGATTGATTTTATTTCTAGCAGAGCTATGCACTTGAAGTAAAAAATAGCGAGTATTATTGTAAATAAGATAAGATAAACAGCAAATATATCCGGAAGGAAAATACACGCATACGAAGTTGTTTTCAATATTAACTTATTAACTATGGTATTTGGAATAAAGAAACAGCAATTTATACTTAAAATTATTTGGCATGATTGTAAATCATTGAGTCACAACTCTCCTGTAATAACTACGAACGATAATTCTCGATTCCAGCTTACATTTCTCACCAATTTAATTCAATATGATAGATAAGTAAAATTTGCCGTTGAAGGAAAACTTGTTTGAATGCAAAGAAGAGTTGTTTTTCCAAATAAATTTGTTTTATGAAAATTCACAGAAATATCTTGGAAGTAGATCTCCTTCCTATTCAGGCAACAGACTTTAGCAAAGCTAGTTTGTTGCAAAAACAACAACAGAAAAGTTTGTATGCCTCCATTAATGTCATGTTTTTTTTTTTTCAAAATGACGATATATGCAACTAAAAGTAACCGGGAAGTCAAAAACCAATATTTCTTGTAATATAAATTTACGATTCAGCTGACAAAAATGAGTACATACTGCATAACAAACATAAATAAGTTAACTTTACAAAAAAGATTGCTTGTGGGTATAGGTGGCAAAATAATACTATCGTTTGCAGGTTTTTATGATTTCTAGGGACTTTGTTTTGTAGAAATCTCTTACAAACAGAAGAATAAAGAAATGAGACTCTGAAAATGTTATCCTATGAGCAATATATGTTTATTGAGCTATGAAAATCATGATCATTGACTTTTTAAGATTTTGAAACCTAAAAATTTCAATATTTCTTCCAGATGGATTTATGATAATCCGTTACAATGTGATTGCAAGTTACAATACCTGATCGATTTTATTAACTCTAGAACGCTCACACTTTACAATGATCCTCTCTGTGTCACTCCTGATACCCTTAAGGGAACCCGGCTCCAAGAGGTATCATTTTCAAGCTTGACATGTCTTCCTGATGACATAACCACTGAGCAAACCACTGGGCAAACTACTCAGCAAACCACTGGACAAACCACTAAGCAAACAGCTGAGCACACTACTCTGCAAACCATTGAGCAAACAGCTGAGCAAATCACTGAGCAAACCGCTGGCACCAAAATGGAGAGCACAACAACTCCAATACCGTCACTTGACAGGATAACAACCAATATTAATACGCTTAATTCTTCTCCTTCAAAAGAAGGAAAACTATCAATGTGGGCAAATATTCTTTGTGTTTATTTGTTAAAAACCATGATTGGATTTTAGATATGCAATGTCTTAAGTTAAAATTCTGAAGATTTGATATGATCTTAATGTTGACTACTTTAAATGATGGTCTTTGGATGAAAAGAAGGATATATTTTGTATGGTTTTAGACAATGTTATACTGTCTAGCAAATATATACATCTCCTGTATACACTCCGAGAAGAATATGTCATCGAGTTACCTGTTGCATGTAGCACAAGCTAGGTTGCCCATTTTGAATTTAAATATTTTGCCAACTATTTTCTTTTAGTTATAAGAACTTTTATGTTTGATTATTTTCTTTTCATATATCATTTATAACTAACTTTTGTTTTTAAAATTTATTGTTGCTAATAACGTCTTTATAAATTAATTTGATCATAATTTTTTATAATTATCAAATATACACTATATACTCTGTACAATTCTAAGTGCATGCCCAAAAAGCAGGTTTCCTTTCTTAAAAAAGAAGTAATGGAACCTTATGATAAGAATTTTAAAAATGCCAAAAGCTTTAGTGTTTCTTCTGATCTCGATAAGAGTTTAATGTCGCTGGTATAAAACGTAGCTTGTGTATGTTCCATAACTCTGTAAGCTAGAAATTTTTATACCCGCACTTTCTAAAGAAAGTTCGGGTATATTGTTGTTACTCATGTCCGTCCGTCCGTCCGTCCGTCCGTCCATCTGTCACACTTTTCTTCCCTGAACTCCTCTTACATTTTACACAGTAGCCTAATCATCTTTGGGGAGAAGGTTTGTGGTGTCATGTAGATGTGCAGTAAGGTTTCGTAATTTTGATTTTGCCCCGGGGGGTCAAATGGGGGTCGAAAAATGATGTTTTTTATGCAAAAAGCCCCGTCTTCCCTGAACTCCTCTTACATTTTACAGAGTAGCCTAATCATCTTTGGGGAGATGGTTGGTGGTGTCATGTAGATGTGCAGTAAGGTTTCGGAATTTTGATTTTGCCCCGGGGGGTCAAATGGGGGTCGAAAAATGACAGTTTTTATGCAAAAAGCCCCGTCTTCCCTGAACTCCTCTTACATTTTACACAGTAGCCTAATCATCTTTGGAGAGATGGTTGGTGGTGTCATGTAGATGTGCAGTAAGGTTTCAGAATTTTGATTTTGCCCTGGGGGGTCAAATGGGGGTCGAAAAATGACGTTTTTTATGCAAAAAGCCCCGTCTTCCCTGAACTCCTCTTACATTTTACACAGTAGCCTAATCATCTTTGGAGAGATGGTTGGTGGTGTCATGTAGATGTGCAGTAAGGTTTCGGAATTTTGATTTTGCCCCGGGGGGTCAAATGGGGGTCGAAAAATGACGTTTTTTATGCAAAAAGCCCCGTCTTCCCTGAACTCCTCTTACATTTTACACAGTAGCCTAATCATCTTTGGAGAGATGGTTGGTGGTGTCATGTAGATGTGCAGTAATGTTTTGGAATTTTGATTTTGCCCCGGGGGGTCAAATGGGGGTCGAAAAATGACGTTTTTTATGCGAAAAGGCCCGTCTTCCCTGAACTCCTCTTACATTTTACACAGTAGCCTAATCATCTTTGGAGAGATGGTTGGTGGTGTCATGTAGATGTGCAGTAAGGTTTCGGAATTTTGATTTTGCCCCGGGGGGTCAAATGGGGGTCGAAAAATGACGTTTTTTATGCAAAAAGCCCCGTCTTCCCTGAACTCCTCTTACATTTTACACAGTAGTCTAATCATCTTTGAGGAGATGGTTGGTGGTGTCATGTAGATGTGCAGTAAGGTTTCGGAATGTTTAATGTCTAATTGTGGCCTGACCTAGCCTTTGAGGTTATGATTTGAAAAACTAGAAATATGTCTATAGGACATGAATGTCCCACTGGATGTATATCACTCATGCTACAGGAAAATTTGTATTAGCGTATTAAGTTTGTTGAAAATATCTTGAACAGTTTCTTTAGAATTGAAACTAAAATCTAAATAAATTTGATATAGATTATAAATCCTCACCAAATTATGTATAAGTGCATGCTAAACATAAAAATGTCTTAAATTATTTCTTTAAAACTAAGCAAAATACAAATAAAAAAGGATGGAGGTCAAGGTCAGAGGAATGTGCAAGGTGAAGTTTTTGATGAAGTTATCAGCATATTATGTTTGATAAAAATATCTTGAATGATTTAATGAAACTGACCTTAACACTTTTTCTAAGAAAAGAGAGGTCAAAGGAAAGGTAAGGGCCAAAATGTTAAATGTTGCAGTTGAAAAGCTTACATCAGTATGAATTTACTATTAGCATATGAAGTTTGATAAAACTATAATTAATGGTTTATTTAAAACTTAGATAAACACAAATTTAAAAAGTGAGGTCAAGGTCAAAGGAAAATTCAAGGTCAAAATAAGTTGATGTATTAATAGCTCTCAGCAGTATGTATCAGCATATGAAGTTTGATAAATATATTTTGAATTGTTTACTCAAAACTGATTTAGACATTAATTTTAGAAAAGTGAGGTCAAGGTCACAGGAAAGGTCAAGGTAAAAAAGAGTGAAGTATTGTAAAGCTTACATAAGTATGTATCATCATGTAAAGTTTCATTACACAACTTGAATGGTTTCTTTAAAATAAAGCTAAACAGTAATTTAAGGAGGCTAGGGGGTCAACAAATTATTTTTTTATTAACCACCGGTTATAACTTAAATTTGGGGATATGATATCTTAAGCCGTCAATTATCATTTGTCAAAAAAAAATTTCATAAATTTTAGTTTTAAAATTTGATCATTTTATCATTTTTATTATACCTTTATATGGAGCTCTTCTTCTAAAGGAGATCAAAATAGTCTAAAAATGGCCGCAACCACCCAGCCTCTTTAAAGAAAAGTTACGTGAAGGTCAAAGGAAAAGTCAAAGTCAAAAAATATTGCTGCAGTTGGATATTTACATCAGTATGCATCAACATATGAACTTTGATAAAAATATCTAGAAAGTTTCTTTGAGCCCAATGGAAAGACAGATGGAAGGGTGGAGGACGGACATGACAAAAACTATACATGTATTCCTAATCATGGTGTGGCATAAAAAACTTGAATCTACATTATATGATGATGTTTCCATCTATCAAGATTATACAAGCAAATTCAAAGAATTGTGGTCCTCTGCTTTCTGTGATTTAGTGAATGGGATGCCATAATTTATGGCATATTATGTCATTGAATATGCACCCATATCATATATCAATTTTTGAAAATTAGGTCAAAGGGGTAAAATCATAGCATGTTCTGAAACATTTTGTTGCAGGTAATGTACATGTCAAATATAAAAGTCATATCTCTTTTGAATCAAAATTTATATATACAATATAATATTTTTGAAAAGTAGGTTAAACTTCTAGGTCAAGGTCACAGAGTCAAAAGTAATGATATATTTAGAAAAGTCTTTTCACATGTAATAAACATGTATAATTTGAATGCCCTTTCTTTTCTCTTTCAAATTGATCAATTTAAAATGTTATTTTTTGGAAAGTAAATAAAACTTTAAGGTCAAGGTCTCACTTACAGTGGGTTAAAAAATCATAGTATATTTAGAAAGTTTTGTGGTAATGTACATGTGAAATAGAAAAGCAGTATCTCTTATTATTCAAAAGTTATGACCAAGGTTAAAGCTGTCAATAAAATGTACAAACTGACAGACAAATGAGATTTAACGTCCCCTCCCTTTCCCCAAAACGGGGGACAATAATGCCCTTGCTGTTCTTGAGAAGAAGATTTATGATGGAAAAAATCCCCTGCATATTTCTTAACGCAAATCAATATTGTGTTTTTATGTCATTTTGTTTGTTATTAAACATCCCTCTCAGGAATTTTTCACTGATATGGAGACACCACCACTTGAAAAATAATGAGGACAAGTTAGATTTGAGGTCAACATTCATTTTAGGAGTTTTCAACCATTAAGACATAAAGAAATATTAACTCGATCCTTCCCCTCACCCCTTCCCAGACCCCTGTTTGTTTATGTATGCAAACTACTACTTGTATTACATTAAAAAAAAATTATACAAATAGTTTAATGTGGTCCATCTCTGAATGATTTTCATTCCTATTCTAGGCCGCCGCCAGAAGATAAGTTGACACAAATTCATGAAAAAAATGTCAAGTAATCTTATCATTGATGCACTTTTATTTAATTTAATGCAGTCATATTGTGAACATTTCCAGCTCATTAGGAGTGGGAATGACCTCCAGGGGTTAATTCATAACCTTTATACCATTAAATTTACATAACATAATAATACAAGAAACAAAATTATGGAGAGTCAAATGGAAAAACTTTCCAACTATTTAGGAGTCACATGATCATTTGTCATTACAGGGACAGGGAGTGGATTGGCTGATCGCCCTCTCACCCCCCCCCCTTGGAATTTGCAGGACTATAATATATACTGGAGGAAATAAAAATGACTTTGTATGCCCTAAGTGTCCCTCCACCATAGAAAATAGACCCAAACATAACTTCTTTCTTTTTTTAGCTTCTCAGGAAATTCTGGTCTGGAAACCCCCCTCCCTCCCAGTCCCAGAAAAAAATTCTGGATCTTGTAACGGAATGTAACGTTGATAACGGGGGATAACTCTTCAGAATGTCAAAGCATCGGATGACCTTTGATCCTTTATTGGCTTTAAACTTGAACCTAACCGTTTGCATTTCAGACTATTTTACCCAAATTTATACCAAAACTTTGTACTTACCGATTGTCATTATTTAGGTCCTGTAATCTTCATGAAATATAATCCAATTAAAACACAAAATGAAATAATTCCTATATGCAATGATGTGTATACCACACTAGTAGCCTACTGCACGTGCAGTGAAATCTAAAAATGATAATGCCAATGGTAAAACTAGTACTTAAGTTGGGTACGTGACGGAAGCCCAATGTGATGCAGGTGTTCAAATACATGTATAGTGCAAGAACAAATTGAAAATTATAAGTTACGAA